GAGGCTGTAGGGAGGTGGGTGCTGGTCTGTTCTCCTGGGTAACTGGTGATGGGACAAGACGAAATGGCCTCAAGTTGTGCCACAGGAGGTTTAGATTGGATATTTGGGAAAACTTCTTCACTGAAAGAGTGGTCAGGCACTGGAACAGGCTGCCCAGGGAAGTGGTGGGGTCACCATCCCTGGAGATGTTCAAGGAACGTGTAGACATAGTGCTTGAGGACATGGTCTAGTAGGTATGGGAGTGTTGAGTTGATGGTTGGACTAGATGATCTTATAGGTCTTTTCCAACCTTAGTGATTCTGTGATGCAGGTATACAAACCTTCTTCCCTTTTTATGGAGTTTCATTCTTTCTCCTCTTGATTGGATGATTGGGTTTTGTAGCTGTCTCAGTAGAAAATAGATGTATTCTACAACTGATAGTTGAGGTGGTTATTCTTACAAGTGATGAAAATGTTTTAATGATAGATCAACTTTTCTGTTTTAGTCTAGAAGGCCTCAGATGTATTTACTACCCCAAAATAGAACTGGCATATGGGTGCAAATCGTTATTATATTACTATAATATTATAATATGTGTTATGGATATAGCTATAACAGCTGTGTAATATGTATTAGTTGTCTTATTCTTGGAAACTGCATTGAGGCCTAAGTGTTTGCTCTAGACGTGCTGCTTTACCATAAAATCATAGAATCACAGAATGGTTTGGGCTGGAAGGGACCTGAAAGGCCATCTGGTTCCAGCCCCCCTGCCATGGGCAGGGACACCTTCCACTAGACCAGGTTGCTCAAAGCCTCATCCAGCCTGGCCTTGAACACTTCCAGGGATGGGGCATCCACAGCTTCTCTGGGCAACCTGTTCCAGTGCCTCACCACCCTCTCTGGGAAGAAATTCTTCCTGATATACCACATTAAATTTTAAATGTAGGATGAATATTCAAGGCTGATCTGGCAAAACACTGTAGTGTCATAGGATGAACTCCCATTGTTAGTTGACTTAATGCTGAATTTGCTTACAGTTTGTCAGGAGGAGGTAAATCAGTAAAAATAATGCAGTGCTCTTAGTGTAAAAAATACTTCTGTTTTAGCCAAGGCTTAAGTAGTCACCTCCTCGCTGTTTTGTCTTACAGTGTTCAGGAGGAGGATTTCACACCATTTTCTAGGGTGGTACATCTGTTCAAGATGTTTATTTTTAAACAGCTCTATAATTAGATTTTAAAATGTGTAGGCATGCAGAGGATGAGACAGATCCCATTATTCCTTGTCAAGTGCCCAAGTCGTTTCTCTTGGCAGTCATCTGTTTCTTGTAAATATTTGTCTGTTCAAAGCTAGCTGTGGTCTAGGGGCATGAAGTAGCTGTTGCTTTTGGACAGCATTTAATAGATTGATGCCTTTTAGCGTAGAAGTGGGGAATGAGTTTTTGTTTCCTACTTCTAATGCTGCTACCTCATGAAGGAATACAGGTAGGTCAAAAAGGGGCCCTTCAGATTCTTTTCTTCAGGGGATACGGAGGCACCAGCTGTTGTGAACCCAGAGAGTCTCTGCTGGTGTTCTGCCTCTGTGCTTCTGCCTCTAGCAAAGAGCAGTGGTGTGGTGGCACTCTTACAGCAGTGTCAGTTACCTATGTGTAAGGGTTAATAGAACTCTGCAGTACTTCTGAAGTTAAATCTTACAGGTAGCTCAGGGTACCCAAAGGTTTGCATTATGCTTTAGTGTCTTGTGGTGATTCACATGCAAGAAATACCTCATGGCAGCCTTTAGTGAAGAAGGAAATGGAGACTTGCTGTGTCCTAGTTTTTCTTCAGTGGAATGTAAGAGAATGTTCTGCATACTCAAATTTGCCATTAGAATCCAAAATGCCTCAAATAGGAATGAGTTGGCACATTCTCTTGGAGCAGAATCTGTCATTAGAGAGTTACCAAAGTGTAGTTATGCTCTTACTGTAAAATGCAATCGAGACTCTTTAAACGGAGCAGAAATTCTAGGCTTGTCTCTATCAGCAGGAGGCTGAATCCCTACATTTCTAATACCTGGTAGAGCATGTGGAAGGAATCTTCATAGTGGGTTTTGCAGCACAACCTCTTTGAAGTTGTCTTGAGTTACTGCTGTTCTCTTCATTTAAATTGATACTTTTTTAATGTCTTGAAATTTCAATATGATGACATGTTGCCTGATGAAGCAAAGTTTAATGTTGCATGGATAAAATAGAGGTTTGTCCTCAAAGCAAGCTCCTTCCCAGAGCTTTCACTAATAGATGACTCATAAAACCATTGTGTTGCCTGATTTGGGGGAGTTTTAATTAGCTTGGCATAAGAGCCAGCATATAGTGTTACCTAGAATTATTGAGGCTTACATAATAAAACAGAATTTACAGAAATATCCCAAAAAAAGAACTTTGAATTGCTCCTTGTCTTTCAAAGTTCCGGAAATAATTCTGAAATAACCTGGTAACTGAAAACACTGTGTTTTGACAGACTGCCCGCAACATCACTGTCAAAATAGCAGAACAGCATCACAGCACATCTACCTGAAACAAACAGAACTGTGGGAGACCACTGACAGAACACCTTATAAAAGGCCCCAAAAACTCTGGCGGGTGGATGTGCTTTGAACATAGAGATCCAAAAAAAGGCAACTAGTAGTGAAGCTACACCACGTACTAATGGAAACGTGTTAACTCTTCCCAGCAGAAAATGGACAAATTATGTTTCATATGAACCTGTGATTGCTACTCATCTGCATACCATTTGCAAATGCCTTCTTCTGTTTCTTCTTGTGTCTGGAAGTAGTAGTTGGGTTTGTGTACATTTTTTTTCTTTCCCTGTCATGTCTGAGGTTTTTCACCATCTGGCTTAAAATGAAAATTCTGTAAATAAAGTTAAATTAGAAAATAACCCTTTAACGTGAGAGTCATGCTTCTGTTTAAACTACAGTTTTGAACTACTCTTTTATCAAAACGTTACTTCTAGAAATGCAGATTCTAATTCCTCTTTTTCTTACTAAACTGCTGCCAGTGTTACTGTATGTACAGCCAGACTTGCACTGCCAGTCGGCAAAGGTTCATTTGGCAGAACAGGTCAGGTATGCAACAGATAATGTTGAGGGGGAATCTGTTTTTCATTTCATGACATGTTTGGTTCATAACATTACTTCCCCATAAATGATTTTCGAGGGGAAAAATAATATATTTATACTTCTATTGTATCTTCTTTGCTCTGTTCAAAGGACATCTTTAATAATACAGTAAACTTGCATTCTCCATATTCTTTTAAATGGCGTGTACACACAAATGGGCACCCGTAGTTCTGTGGAAAGGAGCCTGTTTTATGTGTTTGACTTGTGACATTACTTGATATGACAGTATTTTTATTTTCTTTTGAAACTTGCATTGGAAAATCAATGCACTGTCCTCAGTTTCCCTGGATGTTTTGGAACTGTGTTCTTTTTTTCACTTTTTCTTGTGATTATAACTATCTGATGCCAGGTATGCTTTTCTTCTTGCAATGACACTTCCTGCTAGAAGCAGAGTCTTTTGAAAAACACTCTGAAGGGAGAAAGGGGGAGGTGCTACTATGTCACTGAGATCATACAAGCTTTTTAAAAGGCTGTATTTTTCACTTCCTATAGTTAATATAGTGACACTTGTAACATTATGACCAGAGCGTTCTCTTCCTGCTTAGGTAAGTGTGCCATGTGTTACAGAGCTGTATCAACTGGCACAGCTTCGTTTTTGAAATTGAATACATTTAAAAAAAAAAAAATAGAACCTTTGTAGATGGAAAAAAAAAAATGTTCTTAATGGCCAGAAAAGGCTTCAGTCAGGCTTTCAACTTGTTGAATTACCTGAGCTGAGGAGAAGGAAAAACTGTGCAACTTGCAGAGACGTTGATGGACTGTTTAAGTATTGTGGACCTTCCCTTTAAATGTAAAGAATAAATGTGTTCAATCTTCCTTTTTGCCTTCAGGGACATCATCCTACTCTCATCAAGGTTATGGCTGTGAATCAAAGCTGTATAGCCTTGACCATGGCCATGAGAAACCTCAAGACAAGAAAAAGAAAACCTCTGGCCTTGCCACCCTCAAGAAGAAATTCATTAAGCGCCGGAAATCCAGCCGATCTGCTGATCACGCCAAACAGATGCGCGAACTCCTCTCGGGCTGGGATGTCAGAGATGTTAATGCATTAGTAGAAGAATACGAAGGGACGTCAGCCTTAAAGGAACTTTACCTACAAGCTAATTTGGCAAGACCAGAAGCCAGGACGCTACAAAAAGACATGGCTGAACTTTATCAGTACAAATATTGTACTGATGTCGACTTAATATTTCAAGAAACTTGTTTTCCTGTGCATCGTGCGATATTGGCGGCTAGATGTCCGTTTTTTAAGACGCTGCTTTCTTCCTCACCGGAGTATGGGGCAGAAATCATAATGGATATTAACACAGCTGGCATAGACATGCCAATGTTTTCTGCTTTGTTACACTACCTTTATACGGGCGAGTTTGGAATGGAGGATTCGAGATTCCAAAATGTTGATATCCTCGTGCAGCTTAGTGAAGAGTTTGGAACGCCAAATTCCTTAGATGTTGACATGCGTGCACTGTTCGACTACATGTGCTACTACGATGTGGTTCTTAGCTTTTCATCCAACTCTGACTTAGTCGAAACCTTTGGTGGAAGTCAGAACTGTCTAGATGAAGAGCTCAGAGCTCACAAAGCTATTATTTCATCACGATCTCCATTTTTTCGTCACTTGCTGCAGAGGAGGATACGAACTGGTGAAGAAATCACAGACAGAACTCTACGAACTCCAACTAGAATTATATTGGATGAATCTATCATACCAAAAAAATATGCTAAGGTCATTTTGAACTGTATGTATACAGATGTGGTGGACCTCTCAGTTTTGCACTCTAGTCCTTCAGTGGGCAGTTTAAGTGAAGTCCAGGCTCTTGTAGCAGGCAAACTAAACATGACTAGGGCTGAAGAAGCTATGGAGCTTTATCACATAGCACTGTTCTTGGAGTTTAACATGCTTGCACAAGGTATGTAATACTGTCCTTGCTGTAGAATATATGACCTTATTAGAACAGTTTTTTAGCTGTTTCACAGTGTAAGTGTGCCTTTTGAGTCTTCTTATCAGTGGCTGACAATTCCTTTAAGAAAAGGAATTTATTTTCCATCTAAGTTGTGGGTATTGCATCTGTGTTTTCTAGGGACGGAAGAAATGCCATGTGAGAGCTTTTAACTGTATTGCATGTCATTAGTGAAGCATGCTGTTTATGTCAGATATGTATAACTGGTCTTGATATTTCTCATCTTTATCTACTTTCATCTATAATCCATTTTTTGGGTGTAAACAACAGGGGAAGGATAAAAGAGATGCTTGTTGGGAGGACGGAATGCTAGTTATGAAGTGTCCCTATATGTTAACAACGCTGTAAACTTCAGCGATGATTCCTGTGGTTTCTGTCAAAGCGGTACACTAAGCCTGCAGCCTTGCTGTTGGAAGGTAAATTTAGATGGCTTCATTGCACTAGGCCTAGGTCTTTAGTATCTATTTCTTGATCTACAGAACTGAAGATAGGGGCAGTCAGTAGTATTTTCAGACTTAGTTTCACTTCTGTCAGTTATTCTTGAAGATCACTCAAATCTTGATAATATGCTTCCTGCACATGGAGGCTGGCCAGGGTTACTGCAGTCTTTGGCAAGGTGTCAGAACGCTGACCGGTGAACTAATAATACCTTTTGTGGTGGCAGGAGCTTTGCTTGCTGGAAGTTGCAATAGTCCTGCTGCAATAAAACTGGCAGAAAACAAAGGAGAGGAGTTTTCTGGGATAGGCCACTACAGGAATGTGAATGAGGCATTAGGCATAGAATCATCAAATTGTGGAGCAGCCCAGGTTGGAAGGGGCCTCAAAAGATTGTCTGGCCCAACCTTTCATGGGAAAGGGGTCCTAGATGAGTTTATCTAGCATCCTGCCCAGTCACTTCTTGAAAACCTCCAGTGATGGGAGCTATACCATGTCCCTGGGATGTACCATGTCTTAAATTGAGATGTCTCCTGGTGCATCGTGTACCTGCTGCCCCTTGTTCTCTCCGTGTGGCTCCTTGTGAAGAAAGAGTCTCTGTCCCCTTTGCAGCTGCCCTTTAGGTACTGGAATACTGTGATGAGCCCCCTGCCAAGCCTTCTCCAAGGAGAAAAGACCTAACTCCTTCAGTCTTTCCTCCTAGGGCAGGTTCTCCAGCCCTTTGATCATCTTTGTGGTATTCCTTTGGACTCTTTCCGGTTTGTCCGCATCTTTACTATTTCTGTTGTTGTTCCTCTCTAAGTACACCTAGAACTTAACATTGAATGGAGTGCAGAAGTGGCAAAAAGTTTTACTGTAGGTTAACTACAGTGTTAAATTCCTTCCTGTGCAGTGTTTGCAAGTGAATAGTACGTGAGAACTCCGCACCGCAGCTGATCAGCAGAAAGCAAGAAAGGAAAATGAGTTGCAATGAAAAAGGTGATATAAATGTGCAGTTTCTCAGTTTTGGTGCATGCACGTATGCGAGTGCTAAAAGGATTTAGTGTGCTCAGGGAATACTAATGAGGGAATTAAACTGTGAATGGAGCCCTCAGTAAGACACTGAATAATTATGCACTGTTTTATAAATGAACAGGGAATAATTCTTTCCATCAGAATAAAAACCTAAACTGGAATAGCTGTGACCTGGAGGTGCTCCGATGAATCAGTGTAAGTTATATCAAAGCAGAGAAGCAATGGTAGACAGAGGACTTCTAAGAGAAACTGAGGCAGACTGTTGGATAGGAAAACGGCTTTTATTTTTTGGCTGTTAGTAAATGCTGAAAACCAGAACTGACGTTTTATTTGGTGCTGAGTTTCACTACTTCTGCTGGCTTTAAGTTGAGCGTTCTTGGATCAGTGTGTCCTAAACCAGCACTCCTTTCAGCAATGCACTCCAGACAAGTGCTGCTCTGGAGTGTGTTCTGTGAGTCAGCAGTAACAAGATCTTCCCTTTTCCCTGGAGGTTCTCCCCTAACACTACCTCCAGGAGAGGAAGAAGAGAAGCAGCAGGAGAGCTGCGCTGGGCTTGCAGCGCCTCAGCAGCATGCTCGGGTGGCTGGCTCCAGCAGGTTAGCAGTGCCGGCTCGGTCTTGGTGGCCCTCTGGATGAACAGGAGCTGTAGTGTTTTGGGGTGGTCGCTGGTAGAGTGGGGCAGTGGCCTTCAGAGGTCTGTTCTTCTTTCTCTGGTAAATCTGTCTCTGACCACAAAAGTGGTGAGCTGTGGGGTGGGGAGGTGGTTACACATAGGTGAGAAATGCAGTAATATCAGGCAAGGTTTGAAGTTTATTATATTATCCAGTGTAAATTTGGCACCCCTTCAGATAATCATTCTGATGACTTGAACTAATTAGGATTTTACAAATTGATGCTGCTACAGGACAAAGCAGTAAGCACTCTGTAGAAAATCTGTATGTGCCAGTGAAGTCAGTATGTAATAGCTTCATACTTAATTTCCCGAGTTCATGTTTAGGTTATTGGTACTATGCTGACGCTGAAGAGTTGTGCTGGTATGACCTTGAAGTTAAAAGGAAGCTTATTTGATCAGCGAAAGCTGCATGCCTGTACTTGACTACCAGACCACTTAACAAAGCATGCACTTCTGTGGTGAGCACTGTTCTTGTTTCAGCACTTAACCGTAGCACCTTGTCCTCCCTTCCTCTAGTACTTGAGGGAGGTGGGAGATCTTCCTTTCAGTAACGACCCTCCTGTTCCTGGATTTCATAGCTGGCATGCTTCTGTGCTGGAAGCTGTCACTCAAACATCTGACTTCTAGCATTGCTCTGCATAACGTCCAGAGGAGCCATCATTGTGTAGGTGTTGGAGACCACTGAGCCTGCAGTTCTCATGAAATCTCTGTCTGGGCCCCTGGCAGCCCTTTTCTACGCTGTTGTGTTGCAGGTGTCCAGTTTTGCCCAAGTTCTGACCGATCCCATCAGTTGGCTCTCACACTAGCTAATGTCTTAAGTTTCATTTCTAGATTTCCACACCTCCTGGCTCAAGTTTTGTGGTTCACTTCACTCCTGCTAGCCAATTGCAAACTTGCTAGAGCTTGTCTCCCTGGTTTCCTGGAAAATATTTTGGTCTCATTATATATACATCTGGATACTCTTTCCAAGTCATTCTGCTCACTTTTACTCAGTTTTGGCTGGGTTTTTGTAACTGGGTGTGAAGTTGATGTATTTTAAAGCTTCTGATCAACTTTTTTTATTTTCAACAGACTTTTAGTTTGATTTGTCTTCAGGGACCTTTCTAAGTATCCAGATGTTGTAATTTTTCTTCATTTTCAGCAGATGACTCAGCTTTGATTATTTCTATGGAAATCTTCCCGTTCCTAACAGTGATACTCCTTTTTCTGACTGTTGTATTTTAATAGATGTTTTCCCTGTGATGGAGTGAGTGATAGCGTGGGTATGTGCTCTGAATCTTTACTGCCCAAGTGAAGGAAGACTCTTTAGAATTTACTCTGGCTTCAGCTGGTGATTGTCACTTTTTCTTCCAAGAGGAACTGAATTGGATCTTTGAATGCACTAATTTGAATAAATCAACAAGCATATCTCATCTGGAGCTGATCGAACCAAAACCCATTTGAACCGAATGGGACAGAGGCTGCTGTTGAGGGGGCTGCAGTGTTTGTTAACTATCAAGAAGTGGAGCTCTTCACTGCTTTTGCAGGCTGTGAGGATCAGAGCCCTCTCCGGGAGGTTCGAGCACATCCCTTAGTAGAATGTTTCTGTGCTCTGCCAGCTTATTTCTCCACTCTGCTGCTGCTGCTTTTGTGCCTTCGTGCTACCTTGCTGCTCTCTCTCAAACATACTGGTGTGATCGTTTTAACACATTGGCTCTCAAAGATCAGGTTTAAAATCACCCATCCCTTCCTCTTCTGTAGCACAGTTACTAGAACCAGATCAGTTCCCTAGTCCCGTTAGTCGTGTGCTGTTAAAATAATCCCCCCTTCCAGTCTTACTGTGGTGCCACATCCAATGCTGTTGCAGAGGAGTTGGACTCCAGGGATCTTCGTTCCATTAGACGCCTATATGAAACACCGGAATCCTCTTCTGCATTTTGGCCCTGTTGCTAATTGTCATGAATCCTCTGGCTGAGGTGGTGGTACGGTATGTTTTGCTGTTACTGGTTTTTGGATACTGGGACCATATGAAATAGTTCTGCCTGCTGATTCCAAAAAGTTTTCTAAAGTAAAATTGACAAAAGAAACCTTAATTCCAGATTTTTTGCTTTCCTTTTATTTTTAGGTGTTGACTTTACCCTTGACAAGAATAAGAAGCAAGAAACTTTATTTTAAAGCCGTTTTCAGTAGTGCAGCCTTTGATCTAGAGGCAGATACGCCGACATCAAAAGTACCCTTGATCTCAGCAGGACTGAAATGCCGGGAAGCCCGTGGTAGCAGAATTAAATACACACAAATGTATTGTGGGAAGATAGGAGCAAGGGTGTCAGTTATATATCGGTGCAGGAGTGCTCAGAGGAACTCGTCTGGCACTTTTAACTTTAACGTAAATTGGGTATGATTAAGTAAATATTCACAAAAATCTGACCTATTTTCTCCTTACAATGGTTCGCTTGTACTCAAGCCCGAAATGATTGCTTAGGTTTTATAATACGAAGGTGAAGACTGAAGAAAGCAGAAAGTGGAAAGGATCTTCCTTCGAGCAGTTCCATTCCAGGGTTACATGCAAGGATAAAGAATTTGACTGAGTTGTGCAACTGGGCACATAATTTGTCACAGAAAAATCGATCTGGCCACTGTTTTCAGGCTTTTCTTTCAGCCACCTGTGTTCCAGGAAGCACATGGCTTAAATCCTGAACAGTGGTGGCTGGTGATGGTCCCTCTGAGCATCAGCTCTTCCCCCCTCAGCCCTTCACTGCTCCTGTGGTACGTTCTTCCCTCTGGTTTGTTATGGTTGAGTTGGCAACTTTTTGTTTCTTGGCCCATGGTTGGTTTCTGCTGAAGCTGGATCAGCCACACTGCCTGCTGCTGCTGCTGGCTGTGCGCCTTGAGGAATGCTGAAACCCAGGCAAGGGCCGTTATTAACTGATGGCTGCAAGAAGCCACAAATGTAGATTTTATGCAGATTTCAGGCTTCTTAAATTTATGTGGCAGGAGCAGAAGAGTAAATTCATTTTTCGTTCATTGTGAGAGAAAACATTAAGGAGCTTTTGCCACAGAGTTTTGATGCTTTAAACACATAACAATTACCTTATGTTTCTGGCTAAACTTACAGCTTCAAAAATCCAGTGTTAATATCTTAGAATGTTTAACAGCTTTAACTGTTATATCATAAATTAAAATAATCTTAAATAACACAAGTTGCATTGCTTTTGTCTGCTCCGTAATTGAATGTTTCAGATGGGTGGATAATACACTGTATTGGATTCAGCATAACAGTGAGTTTTCACTGTGGAAGGATGGTTAGCGTAACACAAAATACTTGCCTCCCCTAACCTCCAGACCATGTTTTATTTTTGCTTTAGGAATTAATCTGAAATGCTGTAAAATAGTCAGCTCTGTATTTGAATAAAGCAAAAAATAATGCCGTGTGCCCTTAAGAGTCCCCTAGTAGATGTACTTTGAATTCAGCCTTTCAAGCATGGGAGTACCCGAATGTGTTAATTTTTTGTGCTTAGAAAAATCAGCAGAGGAATTAAAAATAGCTGAAAAGAGGTACTGAACTTGGCGATAGACTTCAGCAGTGTTTCACCACTAATTCCCATTGAGCCCTTCTTGGTCTCCAGGGCTACTTGTCTTCTTTGCTTTTCTGCAAAACATTTATGTAGTTTTGCACCTTCACGTAACCAAAACTTGTGTGCTTCGGAGTGGGAAAATGTGGAAATAATATGATGGCATGAGATGACTGCTTTTTTTTTTTTCCTGAAGTAGCTGATTGTTGAAGCAAAAAAAAAAAAAGTCAAAGAACAAAATAAATTTAATTTGTTCCATAGTGAGAATTGGGATGCCCCCAGTTTATTCAGATTTTCAGAAAACACTTCTTGACTTGTTACCTCATGCTTCCTTCAAAAGAAACACTTGTAAAATCCTGCAGTTCTGATACGTTGCCAAATTATTTGGGAAAAGGACTGTTTCATTAGCTGAGCACCCTAAGTAAACTTTTCACCTGATGATACTGTATTTTTGGTAGTTGTGCAATAATTGTACTTGACGGGAGAATTGGGCGTGAGCTGCTGCTGTTTCCGTAGATCGGCGTTGCTCAGGTCTTTGGAGTGGCATTTCTCGCAGAAATGTACTTTTTTGCCCTTGCGAGGGGTAGGTGTCCTGACTGTTTAAAAAATCGGTGCCAGATGAAACGCCTTGGATGGCATCGGCTTTGGGAGCCATCTCTGTGCTTAGGAGTTTCCTCATGAGGGATCTCTGTGAGTGGTACCACCTCTGAAATGGAGCGGGCTGAATGGGTAGTCTGTAGGCTTTGGGGGGTGTAATCATCTGCTGAAGTCAGCTTGAATGCAGACGGAATGACTGCATGCGGGAGGTGGCGTTAAACTTCAGCAGCACAAGGCAGATGACCCTGAAGAATTGTTTCATGTGTTTCTCATTCAGGGAGGCGAACTCCTTGTAAGCACGTTGCACCTTTCGTTGGCCGTGCCAGGCTTGCCTTAGTCTCCTGAACTCCTTCGGAAAATAAATAAAAAACTGTTTTCAAAACCATGTATACACTCAGAAGGAGGGCCACGAAGATGCTCAGAGGGCTGGAGCACCTCTGCTATGGGGACAGGCTGAGAGAGTTGGGGGGTTCAGCCTGGAGAAGAGAAGGCTCCGGGGAGACCTTATTGCAGCCTTCCAGTACCTGAAGGGCCTACAAGGAAGCTGGGGGGGCCTTTTTACAAGGGCCTGTAGTGACAGGACCAAGGGCAACGGGTTTAAATTGAAAGTGGGGAGGTTTAGATTAGATATCAGGAAGAAATTCTTCCCAGAGAGGGTGGTGAGGCACTGGCACAGGTTGCCCAGAGAAGCTGTGGATGCCCCATCCCTGGCAGTGTTCAAGGCCAGGCTGGATGAGGCTTGGAGCAACCTGGTCTAGTGCAAGGTGTCCCTGCCCATGGCAGGGGGGTTGGAACTAGATTAAGGTCTCTTCCAACCCAAATGATTCTATGATTCAGATATATTCTTGGAATTTGCTGCAAACATTCTCACTGAGCATTGACTCTAGTTATTATATTCACTGTATTTTTTCTTTAATACCTAAGTTTAGAAGATTTTAATGGCAGAATAATTAACATGCTGACTTTTTGTATAGTATTAAGTAGAAATGTGTTTAATAGGACAGGGAGATTTATAACCTGCCTTATGTTTAAACTGTTGCTTCCTAATACCACCTTCTTTACCTTTCTCTTGAGATTTCCCTTTTCAGTGACTTTGCCTCTAAGTAGTAGTTCCTTTGACAGATACTTTTCTACTTGAAGTAGCACGTTCGCTTGTTACTACTTACTCCTTAGTAACTTACCCTTCACATTATTAGTTGCCACAGAAATTACAGAAGTTAGAGAAAAGTAACATTTTCCTTTTAATTCTGTTAATTTCTGCTAGTACATGTATGCAGCCAGTTCAGAAATAAGTAGCGTTACGAGAGCCTCCTTGATCTTTGTCTTGTCAAATGTTAAGATTACAGTGCTAAATACTTTATGACTCAGCTTAGTCCAAGAGCTCAGTAATGAGATACAGTTCTGTAAACATCTATCAAAGTTTAGTTTTTAAATATCCTTGAAACTGAGAGAAAAATGCCAGTGTACAAAAAGTAAAATAATTGCAGTCTAAGCACGCTGCTCTGAACTGTCCGGGGACTTCTCATGAGTATAGGCACAGCTGTAATTTTGTGGCTGTAGTGGGCTGAGACTGGAATGTATAATAGGAGTTTTCTTTAAATTGCTATATTTATAGTACAAATAGAAATAGTATTCTGTGTGTATGCAAACCAGATGTACAAAGGAAATTGGCAAACTGCTATTGGAGACTTTGCTCTCAGCATTGTGGTACCAACTGTCTTAACTCAGTAAGCCCAAGAACCCATGTTTTCAGCACTCCCACTGTACATGTCCCCTCATTTCTTCCAAATCTGTTCTGTCTTCCTTCAGAAGACTTGAATATCCCGTCTCTTCTCCAGAAGACATGTACTCTGAGGGAGCAAATCCTAATGCAGCAGTGGGTGCGAAGAAACTGTAGCACAGAATACCTGCCTCTTAGATGCTTCACTTTCTGCTTCCCTGTGGGAGGAGGTGGTCCCTGTCCTGGCACCCTCTGTGCCTTGCTGGGTAGGGAGGCCAAGGGGGGTGCCCTAGAGCAGCCACCTGCTGCCTCCTGCCTTCCCTGTGAGTCAGAAAGCGGTGCTCTGCTGCCCTCATCCTGTGCCGAGTAGCTGAGTACCAACAGTATGTCACCCCTTTTGTTTCTGCGCCTCTGCTTGGTCAGTCCACATGCAAAGTGATGTGGAGGAAAAACCCAGCCCTGTTATGGCTTGTAAGCTCTAAACTGTAGTGATTCAAATGCAAACCTGTAACTTTAAATGTGTTAAGCAGTCAGAGGATCTGTATTAACCAAAGGAGGTTCTAGTGGGACTGAACTAGCTTTCCAGTTGTTCGTCCAGGCATGCCAGCAGACAGGCCTTTAACGGGTAAATGGCTGCATAGTTGGAATCCCAAACCTCAATCAAGTTGTCATATTTTAGTCAGAATTGGTTAAATTGTTTGCAACCTCGGTCTGTAGGGCACTGCTGTTTTTATTCTCACTGGGAGCCGTATAACCCTTTATAGTACAGACATAGCCATATGTATTGTTCTTTGAGGATCAAAGTGTTTTTGTAACATCACTGATTTTTGCTTTTGTTGCCTAGGCTGTGAAGATATTATCGCCGAGAGCATCTCACTAGACACCTTAATTGCCATTCTGAAGTGGAGCTCTCAGCCCTACGGTTCCAAGTGGGTACATCGACAAGCGCTACATTTCCTCTGTGAGGAGTTTACCCAGGTCATGACTTCGGATGTCTTCTATGAACTCAGCAAAGACCACCTGCTCACAGCGATTCAGTCTGACTATTTACAGGTAACCTGCAGTGCAGAGTGTGGCTGGCCCTGCTTGAAGCAGGCTATGTGATGCTGTTACCGGAAGTGCTTGGGAGCAGCTCGCCTTCAGCTGGAGGCGAGAGTGACTTTGTGTGCAAGTTGTGGTTAAGGGAACTAACGGTTTCGTTCTTGGCTTGTAACACAACCCCAACTGGTGGTACATGCTGTTGCTCAGAAGCGTTTATAAAAATGATGAGGTGGTGGTAGTTTTGCTGTAACAATGTACATCCTGGCTGGGGGCAGTGGGAGCTAATAAACGAGTAATTGTTCAGGCAGCTTAATGTATTTTTTTAGGAGAGACATGAAAGTACCGTTTCTGACAAGTATTGCAGTATTTGGGTTTTTTCTGACTTTTCTTCAGTGACTGTGTGGTTTTAGGGAGAGGAAACCATACTAATAGAAAGCCTGTAGATTTTTCCTGCCATTTCTCTTCAGGGGAGATATCTTTGGAACAATGCCCAGCCTTTTATGGCTTAAAGATGACTGGATTATTTTTTTTTAATTATATCTGTTTCAATCTTACCCTTTTTTTTTAAAGTGTTAGTTATTATGTGAAGGAGTTTTTCTGTTTTGCTTACTTTAAACGTTTCAGGCATTACAGTAACAGTACTGTTGATCTTCCATGTGAGTTTGTTACGACTAAATGCCCTACCCTAGTTATTAAGAAATTAGGTAGATAAATTTTAAATTTTTCAGTATGTGATCTTTTTTTCCTGTAAAAATGTTGAGTGTTAGCACATGTATATAGATATGAATAATGCAAGGTTGATATGTTTATAGCATCACTGAAAATATTTCTGTTCACCTAGGTTATGATTGAGTTGGTTTGATTATTTTCATAGCTTTCCAGGCTGTGCAGATGCTGAATTTGTAATGTTAAAGAAGAGAGCCAAACACCCAGTGTTAGAACTGCCCCTTTTAATTAACCATTCAAATTTAGTATTTGCGAGTTTTTATGCCAGACAATATTTTTCCTTCTGTAGAAAAACTTGGTTTTGTCCTCTTAGGGAGTCAGTGATATGAATGTAGAAATCATGGTGGTGATACATACTGGGAGGAAGTGGTATAGCAGGTTGTAAAGTACAAATACTTCCCTCCTGGTACGCTTGTGTTTCTCTGCAGCTGTAAAGGACCTGTGTATGTGATGACTCTGTGTGTGTGTGACATTAAACCAAGCATAGACAGATTGCTGACTTTCTCTTTCTACCAGGCAAGTGAACAAGATATTCTAAAATATCTGATTAAATGGGGAGAACACCAGTTGATGAAGAGAATAGCAGATCGAGGTGAGGATCCTTTAAACCACACAGTATTAAACCTAATAAACCAAAATGTATGGAAGTTCTCATGTTACCCAGAGTAGTCATAGAGTCTCCATCCTTGGTGGTGTTCAAAACCCAACTGGACAGAGTCGTGGGCAACCTGCTTTACGCTGCCTGGCAGGTGTGGGGAGACGGTGGTGGTTGTAGCTGGACCAGATTTCCAGAGGTCCTTTCAACCTCTGTGACTCTGATTTTTTTTTTTTTGTAAGTCTATTTGATTTCCTGTTGTCTCAGAATTATTTTTCTTGTAATTAATTCATCAGATAAAAAAACAAGCAAACAAAAAAAAACCCTGCAGTATTTTTTACTTTTCTGTGCTCATGCAGGCTTCTCACACTAGTCTTATTCTTAGTTTACTGTGTCGAACTCTCACTTCAGTTTGAGTACAGTTCTCCCACAGAAATCTGTGGTAGTGAGAAACAAGCCAACAAGGGGCATCAATGGTCCTCCTAAAGTAGATGTAGATGTATTTTTATGAGCTCATATGGATATTATTGCTACAGGGGGGACTTCAAGGGCAATCTCACATGTGTTGGCTATGGGAAGTAGGCTAAATATGTATTTCCCAAATAATAAATGCAAGTAGCTTGTGGTTCATTTCCACCATGAAGTGTCAATTGGATAGTAGGTAGTAGGAGGAGAGGAGCAGAAAGGGAAGAGCCTGCCTGTGTGAAAACAGCAGAGCTGGTGTGGCTGCTGTCCTCAGGGGGCTGGCCGTGCACTTGAAACCCACTGTGTTGTTCATGGACATGTTGTATGGAATGCAACAGAAAGTCACTTAAAATACGTGCTTTTAGTGACCTGACCTAAGTGTCAAAGTCAGGTTGGGCACAACACCTGGAATACAGGGGGGAGGTAGAATCATAGAATGGTTTGGGTTGGAAGGGACCTTAAAGATCATCTAGTTCCAACCCCCCTGCCATGGGCAGGGACACCTTGCACTAGGTAGTTAATTGAGGGAGGGGGAGTGACCCAATGAGTGTCACGTGTCTCTGGGAAGATGCTCGCTCTTGGCATAAAAAGGTATCCTGTGGTTGTGAGAACATTCTGAATGGGCTTGACCCAGCTGTTATGGGGTGGGGGGCTTACATAAGGCTGGAATAATTTCCTATTTAAAGTTTTTGATGTAAACTCAAATTTCTTCTTCCTTCCCACAGAACCTAACTTACTGAGCGGTACTGCTCACAGTGTGAACAAAAGGGGTGTGAAGAGGAGAGATCTTGACATTGAGGAGCTGAGAGAGATCCTGTCTCCATTGCTACCTTTTGTCCGCATTGAGCACATATTGCCCATGAGCAGTGAAGTACTGAGCGATGCCGTAAGTCCGTAATCCCGTACAAACAGTATCTCTGGATTCTTTGTACTTCAGATTCTGCAGTGTTAGGGGGTTGTTTTTTTTCTGAGGATCAGTTCCTAAAATGTTATCGCTCAGTAATATGTGTATAACTCTTCCTGGTTACATGTTATGCACTTTTAAGTCTATCAGAAGGCTAAAGGAAAAACCAGTGGTGTAAGGATTCAGTATAAGAAGTGCACTTCTTGCAAGCTTTTCCCATAGTTATGTTTAAGAAAACTTGAATTTGAGATTTCTGTTTCATTGAAAAATGAAATTCTTTCTCGATTCTTAAAGATGAAGAGAGGCCTGATTAGTACTCCTCCTTCAGACATGCTACCAACGTCAGAAGGTGGAAAGTCAAATGCCTGGCTGCGGCAAAAAAATGCTGGAATATATGTGCGGCCGAGACTCTTCTCACCGTATGTGGAGGAGGCTAAGGTAATAATCGTTAACGTTTGAGTATTGTTAATCTGGAGTCATCGGGGGTTCTGTAAACAGGGAAAGATTGTCGTATGTTTTGTCTCTCTTTGCATGTACTGGCCTAAAATACTAACGTTTTCAATTTAACAAGACTTACAAGATTGATCATCAGGCTCAAGTCTCTAGAGCTGGTCAGAAAAATTTCAACAAAATTTTTTTTTGTCGAAATTGAAATGTTTGCGAGACAGATCTTGATGAAATTCCACCGGAAACAAAGCAGCGTTCTGAGGGAAACCTCCCTGGTTTCCAGCCAGTTTGCCGGCCCAGCTCCTCGGCAGCCCACCTGGCAGGCGGATGGCAAGGTGAGAGCCTGAGAGTCCCAGTTGGCAGCTAGTCAGCAACCTCGGTACCAGGTCTTTCAGGCTCCCCAGCTCCCACGACAGCTGGGTGGAGAACTACTATTCCACTAGTCAGAGGACTTTGATGTTTCATCATCTTGTTTGAATCAGAATGTATCCAAAATTCTTTCGATCCTCTGCAAAATGGAGGATTGACTGAAGTCTTCTGTGTCCCGCTCAAGCAGTAGCTTTCCTGCTTAATATCTTGCATGAGGACTGTCAGACTGAAGATCTTGGAGCGTCTCTGATGTTTGGTAACAAGGTGGAGGTGGCTGTGTGTGGGGCAGAGACGTGCCATATGCTGTTTGACAGGTGGGGCCCTTGTAGGCTGCTGATGCCACCACTTAAGGCAGCTCAGGCTTAGGTCAAGAGCTCGTGAGTCCCAGCAGTGCAGGTGACTGCAGGACAAGGGAGTCAGGAGAAGCTGTGCACATCCGCATTCCCTACAAACGGACCACTGCTCTGGTGAACCCAGAGCTTTTGCCCTGTGCCTGAGAAAGGAGGTATTTTCTGAGGGTGTGAGGAGGAGTTGATGTCCTCTTTGAGGGGAGAAAATCCAACTGCTCTGCATTTTGACACAAAGGTTAGAGCACCAGGTGGCAGTAAAGCAGTAAATGGACACTAGACAGTTAAAATTTTATCTTTGCAGCTCGGGTTGTTAAAACCAACAAAAATGTATTAGAGAACATGTGATAAAAGCTTTGACTCTTAGTTTTCAGGTACATGGGGTGGGAGTGCTCTAGTAATAACCGTAAAGTTAAAAGTGCATTCTATCTTTTTTTTTCTTCCCTGTCAGGAATCCTACTTGTTTTTAATAGTTTCATATTACACTGTTAATATGTTTAAAATCATCATTAGCTGTTTAACATTAGAGAGGGGACTCTCATACTTATTATCTTGTAACTATACTCCTATTCATAGATTAATTATTGTGAAATGCAAAATTGCACATAAGTGATTTCTGATTTTTTTTTCCTCCTCTGTTAGTTTCTCATTTTTTTTGAAACAAAACCATTTAATATCAAATGAAAATCTTGAAAGGGTATGCATAAATCCCTTCCTAGCCTAAGACATCTGAGGGTAACACGCTTCATTTCCAGGCTGGTGCCTTCTACTCAGTGTCACAGAGCTGAGAACTGTAGGCAGTGATTGTCTGGGACAGAGTGCAGAGTCTGGCCCCAGAGGTTACTCCCAGCCTGACAGGTGCAAAGTAAACAAAGCCACCTTCCCAAACGTCATTCACCCGCCTGCTCCTAGCTCTGAAACTCAGCTCCGATCATGCCTGGAAAATGGAATAGAAAATGCTGTGGAAAGGCCAAATCCTGTTTGAGACCTGGAAAAGTTATGGTTTAGACGTTGCTAGACTTGCGGCCTCGGGGCTGCGTTTGCAGCAGCTCCCGGGGCGGGAGTGTGCGGTGCCCTCACGTGGGCTCTGATGGCTGTCGTTGCAGTCGGTGCTGGATGAAATGATGGTTGAACAAACCGATCTCGTTCGTTTGCGGATGGTCCGGATGTCCAACGTGCCCGACACCCTGTACATGGTAAACAACGCGGTGCCGCAGTGCTGTCACTTGATCACCCACCAGCAAGTTAGCACTAACCAGTCCAGTCCTCCTTCGGTCATAGCCAATGAGATCCCAGGTAAGGCTGCTGGATTGCTTGCAGTGCCGACTGATCATGGATGGATGGATGGAGGCTTGGGGCAGGGAATGTTAATTGTGGAATATTATGGTTTCCTCAGAGAGTAGTGCTGCACCATTTGGGCTTCTTCCCAGGGGTAATCCCTTTTGCTTTGGTCTGCTCAAGACATGAACTGGTTTTGGGTGGTGTAATATGCAGGCAGAAAGTAAGCTACTGGAGGAGGTAGTATTTTAACCTGCTTCAGCTGAGCAATTTGAAAAAACTTGGATTGGTTAAACTTGCTGCATAACACTCGCTCGAGCCTGGCTCTCTGCTCTCAGAGTGGTTCTCAGTTTTCTGCTTACCCATCTTGGACGACTGGTTGATCCAAAAGCCTGCAAAACGAATGAAAAACAGGGGAGCATGACTTGTAGGGCAGTCAGCTTAAATCAGTTTGCCAGAAAAATATTGGAGGTGGGCACCCAAAACACACTGTTTTCAGTTTCCCAAATCCATTTTAGCTTTGAAGTCAAACCAACTTCATTCCTTGTGTGGCAGAGTGAGGTTTTATAGGTGGAAGTAGATATGGCCTCTCTCGACTTCAGGATACTTGATGTGACATGCCCCAAAGGCAAGCCAAGCAAATATGGTCATAAAACTGCTGTAATATGCTTTGTCATTTATGCATTAGGTCTTTTTGTGTCAGACTGGAAGAATGTATCTGGTGGGATTGTCAAAGCAACCAGCTCTTCCCACCTTTCCCTGGCCCCATTAATACTTAGTGTGCATGGAGAATATGCTCACAGAACTTGTAGCTGATGCCAGGTTGGGAGGATCAGTGGATGCTTTGGAGGGCAGGGTCAGGTAGCTGAAAGACCAAGGTTTAAATTTAAACTTCAGTGAGGAAGGTGGGAAATGTTGTGCTTATGTAGGTGTAGCCAGCTGTGTGTGTACAGGGTGGCTGAAGGAAGCTCTGTGGAGCAAGGCCTGGAAGCCAACACTGTACAAGACCATAAAGAGTCCTACCGAAAGACACAACGTGCCACAAGAGGTGTGGTAATTTGGTCTCAGGTGGAGCACTCTGTTGGGCCTTTCAAACAGCCAGAATAGGTCAGATCAAGGATTTGTCTGTCTAGTATCCTCATTCCAAGAGTCACCCAAAGTGAGTGCATAAGGGAAGTGTGGCAGAATCACAGAATGGTTTGG